AAAGAAAAGCAATCATTCTAATTTTTCCCTTTTCTGGAGCACAACGAAAGTGCTCCCGAGTGAAAGTGGCCGATTCCAAGTGAAAATTCACTTTTCTCGTTGGAGCGTGACGCTTTGAATTTTACCGCGTCGCGGAAAGAGTTCAACTCTCGAGAGGGCGGCTGCCGTTTAACAATCGTGGAGGAGGAAAGCGAATCGATAAAACTCGATTGCGTCGTCGATGACGTTTTACATCGAACACGGTTGAATGGCCAGCCAGATTTTTTCTTTCTTCCTACGGTACGTTTAACCGATCGGTAAAATAGGAACGGCTACGTAAAAGTGAAAATTGCTCGTATAAGATACGAGCTTTAATTACAACCTGTTATATTTCTCGTATCAATTACCAGATAATGAAAGTAATTAGAGATTCGATCTGTTCGAGACGATGGTAATAAAGGATCGCGGATAAGGGAGATAAATTTGAGATGGCAAATAAATTTTATTGTTCCCGGTTAATTATAATTGATTTCAGACAGTCAGAAATGAAATTCAGTTTGTAGAAACCCGATCATTACAGTTTATTGAACACGTACATGTCTATCCCTTATTATTATCCCATATATCATATTAAACGCATTAAAATTAAGAATATCACTCTTATAGATAATTTAAAAGATTTATCTCCTTTCATTTCCTCCCAATTCAATATCGAATGATTACTTTCCCAAAATTATCCAATAACATCAAACCGTATTTAACTTGAAAATATTCTAAGTCCAATTCGAATCGAAATAATTGAAATTCCCAAATTTGCTAATCCCCAAATTTTTTATCCAACACTCAAACTGTCTCTGACAAATTTCACACGGAAAAATCCAACGATCCTGCTCAGTTTCACGAACTGCGCGAATCCAAATCTTTTCCCTCCTCCCCCTTCGATCCCCTTACGCACCCCTCCCCCTCGTTGTATCGTTGAATTTTCACTTCCAGGTTTCGTTCGGCTGTCGTTCGCCCGGTCGTTCGCATTTCGCCGGCGTGTGTGCACGTTTCCTTCCGATCAGATAAAAATGTTATGCATTCAACGCATGCCTATCTGCCCGCCATACCCGCCGATGCTCTCGGCCACGGAGCCCTCGGTATCCCCAAGGAATCCTCGATCGGGCCGAGCGCACGATTCGCCCCCCTCCCCTCCCTCGCGGAAGAGCATGGCCGCCGTGGAGGGGATAGCGGACGGCGGAGTGGGGAGGCGGAGGAGGGAGGCAGAGTAGGCGATCGCAGCGTGCGCGAGCGAGCACACCGCCTCTGTCGAGAAGGCAAGCGGAGAGCAGCGCGCCAGGGGTATATGGCGAGGCGGGCGAGGAGGCGACTCCTTCGAGGTCGCGGATGGACCTCTTCCTTCTGGATAGAGAGAGAGAGAGAGAGAGAGAGAGAGAGAGTCCTTCGGCGGCCGATTTATCAGAGCCGAAAGATCAGAGACCAGGTGAGCAACACACGCTTGATCATAGACACGGGCGCGCGGTATCGCGTGGATAACGCCTGTACACGAATGGCTTAACAACGCAATTTATCAAACCGGGCCGGCTTTCATCCGCCCGATTCTACGTAGCAATTAACGTGTCCACCGGGGGAACATCGTATTTTAAAGGTTTACGGCCGTGACACGCCCATACAAAATTCTAACCAACGGCGCGGGATCCGATTTTTTCCCGAGCGAGGCGTTATTAGATTTACGAGCTGGGCGTTGTGAATGAATGACGCCTCGTCGCGATTTTGACCGATTTTCGTCTCTTCTTCGACCCGATTTCTCGAGGAAATTCGAAGTTGGGGCAAAAAATGGAAAATATCTCTGGATGAAAAATCGATCGACGGTTTTGATCAGAGCCAATTAATTAACACAGCTCCGCGATATCTAAATAAACGGGACGAAGGACGATTAATTACTATTATATTATTATTTGCTCCGATTTTAATTAAATTAATTTCTAATTTTTCGTCTTCTCTAAATGAAGAAGTGTACTATCCGCGAAATTCGTGAAATAAATAAGATAACACACTAGTTTCTCTCCTCGACGATAACTCATGCAACATGGATACACTATATTCAGAGAGAATGGAACGCCCCTCGAATAACATCCTCGACGAACACGCACCCTGTCCAACCTCTGAATCGATCGAAATCTACGATCCGATTTTATTCGATTATCCAACTAATATCTTGCACGATAAATTCACGAAAATATTATATAAATGATAGTTTAGAAACAGTGCTTACTTTTCACTTTTATTACGAGAATATTAAATATCGATTATTTTATAGAATTTACATAATTGATATACGATTTCCCGTGATTTTGAACAATTGTTTTTCTTTTCCATATATATAACCTCATACATAAAGTATAATATTTTCGTTTAATTCGTGTGAAAGGATAACAAATTGATTATCTGGATGAATAATCACATTTTCATTCAATTATATTATAAATATATTATATTATATATATTAAATATATTATAAATATATTATAAACACACGAGAGGAAGATTTTAAAAAACATTTAAAAGCTCTCGCGAAACCTAGATTTCATCCAAGAGCGGATCCCTTTACCCGTGTTACGTTCGAAGCTTCCAAAGGCACGCCATTGATAAAGTTTCACCTCGACCTTTCATTGTCCTTTAAGCCATTAGGAGGGAACGCCGCTCGCCACGAAACGGCCGCAATGTTAATGTCTAAAGTATGTTTTCTCCCGCGGTTGGCCGGTTAATGGCCGGATCCGTGCGCACGAAGCTCGATTCAATGGCATCGAAGTTATCGGCGAACATCGTTGCCACGAAAAAGCGTTCCGCGATTAACCCTAAGTGCCGCTTTGATCTGCCAATAGGCCAGTCCTCGGCTCGTGGTTTACGGGCGGAGATATATCCGGGTGAAAGCTTTCATTCTCCAGAAGATTACTCGTGTTTATTTATTTATTTATTTATTTTTTTTGAACGACAATTTTACATATTTATATCAACGTTGTGCAGAAAGAAAAATAGGTGTTATCAAAGAAAATTATCTGATATCTGTAGTTTCATTAAAAGGGATTTTTGATATTTCGTATTTTTCTTGAAAGCGATTTTTAAAAATGGAAGAATCGAGTAAAATATCGAGATGATGATCAAAATGAAACTGGTGGAATTGATGCGTTTCGTTTGGTTATGTTATATGTTAATTGTCTTGAAGGTATTTACGAAATATTTCTTGCGTTTAACATTTATCTTTGCGAAAGACATTTATGCACGAATCGATAATTGACCGAAGTAATAATCCTCGTTGAAATTAATCTGCGGCAAATTGTCTAGATGATTTAGATTGATTGAAATGATTTACAGAAAGGAGGGAGGGAGAGAATAGACGTAGTACTTGGTGTGTGCTAACGTTAGTCATGTTGATTTACCATCTCTCTATAAATCTTTCCAGCAATAACTCGTTGTTTATTCTCTTACGAGCGGGAGAAACTTCAATGTTTTCGATTAAGACTTCGAGGACTCGAAGCTTTTCATCGGTTATACGTAATAGACGATAGATTTTTGAATAACGAAGAAATTGAGATATGATCGAATAAATTTTTCAAAAATAGTTCGTTCGAAATTCGTATTCCTAATCCTGATTTAATTTCTCAATCTAAATTATTTGAATTCTTCGAATATCAAATCTCTCGTTCTAAGAAATCATTTAATTTAAGTTAATAACTTAAATTAAAAAAATAAAAATCACTCCACGATTCCCAAAATCGCCCATCTTCTTCATCAATTTCTCAATCTCAATCTTCCGTTCGATTAAATTTAATCATTTAATTGTATTATCAAATGTTCAAAGCATTCTATCAATTTTCCAAAAATTCGCATTTCATCGACTTTTCCTTCAAAAATAATTCTCCACAAATTACAACTAAATTATCCCTTCACTCAATTTCTCTGATATTTAGATAAATTTTCTGATAAACTCCCTAATTACCG